CTGTGAGGCCCACCCCGGCATCAGCTGACTGTGAGTACGCCCACCCCGGCATCAGCTGACTGTGAGTACGTCCACCCATCAGCTGAGGTGAGGTACGTCCACCCCGCATCAGCTGACGTGAGGTACGTCCACCCGGCATCAGCTGACGGTGAGGTACGCCCACCCCGGCATCAGCTGACTGTGAGTACGTCCACCCCGGCATCAGCTGACTGTGAGGTACGTCCACCCCGGCATCAGCTGACTGTGAGGTTCGTCCACCCCGGCATCAGCTGACTGTGAGGTACGTCCACCCGGCATCAGCTGACTGTGAGGTTCGTCCACCCCGCATCAGCTGACTGTGAGGTTCGTCCACCCCGCATCAGCTGACGGTGAGGTACGTCCACCCCGGCATCAGCTGACTGTGAGGTACGTCCACCGGCATCAGCTGACTGTGAGGTTCGTCCACCCCGGCGTCAGCTGATCGTGAGGTACCACCCCGGCATCAGCTGACTGTGAGGTACGTCCACCCCGCATCAGCTGACTGTGAGGTACGTCCACCCCGGAATCAGCTGACGGTGAGGTACGTCCACCCCGGCATCAGCTGACTGTGAGGTACGTCCACCCCGGCATCAGCTGACGGTGAGGTACGTCCACCCCGGCATCAGCTGACTGTGAGGTACGTCCACCCGGCATCAGCTGACGGTGAGGAACGTCCACCCCGCATCACGCTGACGGTGAGGTACGTCCACCCCGCATCAACTGACTGTGAGGTACGTCCACCCCGGCATCAGCTGACCGTGAGGTACGCCCACCCCGGCATCAGCTGACTGGAGGTACGTCCACCCCGGCATCAGCTGACGGTGAGGTACGTCCACCCCGGCATCAGCTGACTGGAGGTACGTCCATCCAGGCATCAGCTGACTGTGAGGTACGTCCACCCAGGCATCAGCTGACGAGGTACGCCACCCGGCATCAGCTGACTGTGAGGTACGTCCACCCTGGCATCAGCTGACTGTGAGGTACGTCCACCCAGGCATCAGCTGACGGTGAGGTACGTCCACCCCGGCATCAGCTGACTGTGAGGTACGTCCACCCGGCATCAGCTGACTGTGAGGTCCACCCCGGCATCAGCTGACGGTGAGGTACGTCCACCCCGGCATCAGCTGACTGTGAGGTACGTCCACCCCGGCATCAGCTGACTGTGAGGTACGTCCACCCCGGCATCAGCTGACTGTGAGGTACGCCCACCCCGGCATCAGCTGACGGTGAGGCACGTCCACCCCGGCATCAGCTGACGGTGAGGTACGTCCACCCCGCATCAGCTGACTGTGAGGTACGCCCACCCCGGCATCAGCTGACTGTGAGGTACGTCCACCCCGGCATCAGCTGACGGTGAGGTACGTCCACCCCGGCATCAGCTGACGGTGAGGTACGTCCACCCCGGCATCAGCTGACTGTGAGGTACGTCCACCCGGCATCATCAGCTGACGGTGAGGTACCTCCACCCCGGCATCAGCTGACTGTGAGGTACGTCCACCCCGGCATCAGCTGACTGTGAGGTACGTCCACCCCGGCATCAGCTGACGGTGAGGTACGTCCCCCGGCATCAACTGACTGTGAGGTACGTCCACCCGCATCAACTGACTGTGAGGTACGTCCACCCCGGCATCAGCTGACTGTGAGGTACGTCCACCCGGCATCAGCTGACGGTGAGGTACGTCCACCCCGGCATCAGCGGCTGGTACGTCCACCCCGGCATCAGCTGACGGTGAGGTACGTCCACCGGCATCAGCTGACGGTGAGTACGTCACCCGGCATCAGCTGACTGTGAGTACGTCCACCCCGGCATCAGCTGACGGTGGTACGTCCCCGGCATCAGCTGACGGTGAGTACGTCCACCCGGCATCAGCTGACGGTGAGTACGTCCACCCGGCAGCTGACTGTGAGGTACGTCCACGGCATCAGCTGACGGTGAGTACGTCCACCCGGCATCAGCTGACGGTGAGTACGTCCACCCCGGCATCAGCTGACGGTGAGGTACGTCCACGGCATCAGCTGACGGTGAGTACGTCCACCCGGCATCAGCTGACTGTGGTACGTCAACCCGGCATCAGCTGACGGTGAGGACGTCCACCCGGCATCAGCTGACTGTAGTCGTCCACGGCATCAGCGACTGTGAAGTACGTCCACCCGGCATCAGCTGACTGTGATACGTCCACCCCGGCATCAGCTGACTGTGAGGTACGTCACCCAGGCATCAGCTGACTGTGAGGTACGTCCCCGGCATCAGCTGACTGTGAGGTACGTCCACCCCGGCATCAGCTGACTGTGAGGTACGTCCACCCCGGCATCAGCTGACGGTGAGTACGTCCACCCCGGCATCAGCTGACGCTGAGGTACGTCCACCCGGCATCGCTGACGGTGGTACGTCCACCCGGCATCAGCTGACGGTGAGGTACGTCCACCCGGCATCAGCTGACGGTGAGATACGTCCACCCGGCATCAGCTGACTGTGAGGTACGTCCACCCGGCAACAGCTGACGGTAGGTACGTCCCCGGCATCAGCTGACGGTGAGGTACGTCACCCGGCATCAGCGACGGTGAAGTACGTCCACGGCATCAGCTGCGGTGGTACGTCCACCCCGGCATCAGCTGACTGTGAGGTACGTCAACCCGGCATCAGCGACGGTGAGTACGTCCACCCGGCATCAGCTGACTGTGAGGTACGTCCACCCCGGCATCAGCTGACTGTGAGTACGTCACCCCGGCATCAGCTGACTGTGAGGTACGTCACCCGGCATCAGCTGACTGTGAGGTACGTCACCCAGGCATCAGCTGACTGGTACGTCCCCAGGCATCAGCTGACTGTGAGGTACGTCACCCAGGCATCAGCTGACTGTGGTACGTCACCAGGCATCAGCTGACTGTGGTACGTCCCCGGCATCAGCTGACGTGAGTACGTCCACCCGGCATCAGCTGACGGTGGTACGTCACCCGGCATCAGCTGACTGTGAGGTGCGTCCCACCGGCATCAGCTGACGGGTACGTCCACCCCGGCATCAGCTGACGGTGAGGTACGTCACGGCATCAGCTGACGGTAGTACGTCCACCCCGGCATCAGCTGACTGTATGTAAATAAACAAAGGTTTCTCCGGCAGAGATACGTGGCTGAAGGTAAACATTCATTAGTCCTTCGTCAGAGATACGTGACTGTGTGAGTAAAACACTGGATCTCTATTGGTATTTACCCTCAGAGCCTCGACCAATAGCTGGCAGCGACCCACAGCTATCTTCATATCAGCTGACTTAAAGTAAATAAACAGAGACGAAGACACATGCTAATAGAACCAGCCATTAATCCAACAGCAGAGATAAACAATAGACGTGACTCTTTATAAAACAATATATCCATTTTTCCCCTATCAGATATATGACCTCATTCGGGAGTTTGCGGTGTTTTTACCCAGTTAATGACTTGTGTGCCAATATAAGTCGGACTGGTAAAATCGATTCACTCTTGACAGCTCCGTTTGTCAGCGCCGCGCCATCTGCGTTACGTCACCTGGAGAAAGTTTGTGTACAAGAGTGTCACGTCTTTAACCATCTCAAGTTAGAGGGAAAATGTTGACTTAACCTCTTGAGTACGATGATTTAACCTCTTGAGTACGATGATTTAGCCTCTTGAGTACGATGATTTAACCTCTTGAGTACGATGATTTAACCTCTTGAGTACGATGATTTAACCTCTTGAGTACGATGATTTAACCTCTTGAGTACGATGATTTAACCTCTTGAGTACGATGATTTAACCTCTTGAGTACGATGATTTAACCTCTTGAGTACGATGATTTACCCCCTTGAGTACGATGATTTACTCCCTTGAGTACATATTGCCAAGATTACAGTTTTCAGGTCGCCTTATGCTTCCTAATCTTCGTTTGGATGAAAGATTAGAATGAGGGATTAGAGAAGGTTAATAGAGGATTATTACAGGATTAAAGAGTGATTGGAGAGAGAGAGAGAGAGAGAGAGAGAGAGAGAGAGAGAGAGAGAGAGAGAGAGAGAAATACTATAATCTCTCTCGTAAAATCCAAAGTTCGCCAAATACGTCACATCGAGTAAGTCTTATTGACATATCTGTTTTGAAATCTTAATATGACTTTCCTGCCAATGGTAAATAAGAAATTTTAGCGCCTGGGATTCTCATTGGCTGGCTAGAAGAAAAGTTTAATCTCCAATTCACATTTCGTATCGAGTTGGAGTGGCAGTTCTTCCTGGACGTATCAGCATTGTAATCTTAATGTTCCAACCAGCCAATGAGAAATAAGAAGTTTTCATATCTCCATCTGTCATTGGCTAAGAGAAAAGTTTAATCTGATATCTAGTGAATGCACTTGACGTATCACCTCTTGCAATCTTAATACCACATTCGACCAAATGACAAATCAGAACTTTTTGCACCACTAGTTCTCATTGGTCCGACCATTCCATTGATGCATTCTTAGCTCAAGTTTCCATCTATATCCGCGAAGTGATTTTTTTCCCTCAACAAATCGGTCAAATTGAACGAACCAATGTGATTGAGAGCCTCTACCCAGACACTCTGTGATTGGCTGGTCAACTTTCTTTCCTAACTGGTGATTGGAGGACGCCTCTTAACTGGATTACTTAAAGTTACGACTCAATGTTATATTTTTTTCAAAGGTATAAATGGCGAGTAATTCTTTATATATTAGTTAAGTGTTTAAGAACTGTCTTAATTAATTACGTAAGTTATTATTGACACACACACACACACACGCACACACACACACACGCACACACACACACACACACTCACACACACACACACTCACACACACACACACACACACTCACACACACACACACACACACACACTCACACACTCACACACACACACACACACACACCACACACACACACACACACACACCACACACTCACACACACACACTCACACACACACACACACACACACACACACACACACGATACTTACAAAAGTGAAGTTTGAGACGAGGGGCGTAACGATGAGGGTAGGGACGTGTAGCAGACTGACCCCACCACTGTCGTCACCAAACACGATCTCCGTCCCTGTGTGAGAGAGAGAGAGAGAGAGAGTGAGATAATGATTGTGAGAAAGTGAGATAATGACGTGAGAGAGAGAGAGAGAGATACACTCACATGATTAGCAAGAAATATACAATAGAGGAAACTGATTGAACTCGATATAAAATAATGTTGAAATTACACTATATACATTAAACTAATCTAGTACTAACCTAATCTAACCTAATACAAACACTAACCTAACCTAACCTAACCTAACCTAACCTAACGTAACGTAACCTAACCTAACCTATCGTAACCCAACGTAACGTAACCTAACGTAACGTAACGTAACCTAACTAACCTAACCTAACCTAACCTAACCTAACCTAACCTAACCACCATGAGGATAAAAAAAAAATTCTGCTCCAGTCTCACTCCATGAAGAACCGAAGACTCGTGAAGGAAGGAAGGGAGGAAGGAAGGAAGGAAGGAGGGAAAGAATGAATGAATGAATGAATGAAGGAAGGAAGGAAGGAAGGAAGGAAGGAAGGAAGGAAGGAAGGAAGGAAGGAAGGAAGGAAGGAAGGAAGGAAGGAAAGAATGAAGGAGGAAGGAATGGATTAAGGAAGGAAGGAAGGAGAATAACAGCTCTGTTCTATCTCCTCCGTCTTGATTTTTAATTCGTTTTGAGTTGAGTTATTATGATGATTGTGAAAGAGGAAGGGAGAGTGAGAGTGATTATGAGAGGGAAAAGTGGGGTTAATGAGCTTGGGGGAGAGGGAGAGGTAAGGGAGTGTGGGGAGAGGGGAGAGAGAGAGAGTGGTAATGGGAGGGTGAAAGAGGGAGGGGGTAAAGAGATAAATAAAAATAATAAGCAAGAGGAAAAGAAAGAAGAATTAAGCAAGAGAGAAGAAAGACTAAAAAACATAAAGAAGAAACAAGAGAGATAAAATTAAAGACAGTTAGAGAGAGAGCGAGAGAGAGAGAGAGAGCCAGATGAAAGTGAACGAGAGAAAAAAGAAAGAACAAAGCAAACGAGGGTGAAAGAAAGACTGAACAACGAAAACAAATAAAGATGAAAAAAACAAAACAAAAGAGGAATATAAACAAAAAGGATCAAAGTAAATAAATAACAGAACCAAGAAAATGAAAACAAATAAAAAAACAAATGTCAAATAAAAAATCTAACACCTAAAAAAAAAAGGCAAAGTTACCCCTAAAAACGAGGAAGATTACAAAGAAAATGGAGAAATGTCTAATGGGTAACTTAGATATAAAAGAACAAAGTCAAGATACGAATTAGAAACGCTTTAAAGTTGTATTATGGAGTCTATACTTTACTATTAAAACGAAAACCCCAAAATAAAACTTAAGACGACATAGAAAACGACGAAGATCACGAGGTGTAACTTACATATAGAAGGGAAATGTCAATGTGTAATTCTTTGATAACTGGGCTGTGTTTTGAAGTCTGAGTTTGTCTAAAAGGAAAAAAATACACAAAGGGTGAAAGAAGAAAGACAAAGAAAATGAGGATAAATGATAACAGGGGGAGGGGAGGGGGATCTATAAAGTAAAATATAAGCGTAGAAATATTGGCCGTCTTAAAGGTGAATTCTAAAGGCAAGATTTGACACCAGACCTCCTCTTGTGTTTCAGGTAGCGAAAGATAGAAAACGGAAGAAAGATAAAGAAAATGGAGAAAAACACTCAGGGGTAACTTAGAAATATAAACAAAATCAGTAGAGAAAATATGACCTGCTGACTCAAAGTTATATTTTCGAGGCAACGCTTGAGAATGGACCTTTATTTTCTTATCTCAAACAACAACAAAAAAGAAAAAAAAACGATAAAGAAAACGGAGGAAAAACACAAAGGGGGTAACTTAAGAAAAAAAATACAAATCCTTTACATAAATTTCAGAAAAGTTAAAAATATATTACCCAGGCAACTTTAACACAACAGACTTTATCTATTGCATCTCAAATAAAAAACAGAATGGAAGAGAGATAAAGAAAACGAAGAACCACTAAGGAGTAACTTGAGTAAAAAATAGAAAAAAATAGAAAAATCTGTGTCGAAATTTGAGAGAGGTTAAAGGTGTGTTGTGGAGGTGTCCTGCCGACTCTCTGGGCTGTATCTCTCCAGCTCGTGTTGAATATTGCCGGGGAATTTGGCTGCCAGTGTTGGGGGGCCGCCACTCTGGTGAGGTATGTGGAGTGGTAATGGGGAAATACTTGCTTTGATATGCCCCTGTGTGTGTGTGTGTGGGGAGGGGAGGGGGGTAATGTGTGTGTGTGTGTTTGTGTGGGAGAGAGGGTAAGGGTTGTTTTTGTAGGGTAATGGGGAAATACCTGCTTTGATTTGACCCATGTGTGTGTGTGTGTGTAGGTCATGTGTAGGTGTACTTGTGTGTATGTGTGGGTAGATGACTGTGTGCGTTTTCTATTTGACATGTGTAATTATTGAGACATTTTACACATGCAAACTGTGTGGGTGAATGATGGATTAGTTGTTGTGGGTGTGGGCTTGTGTGTGTTAACGTGGGCGCGTGTGTGTGTTTAGGTGGGCGTGTGTGTGTGTTTAGGTGGGCGTGTGTGTTAATGTGAAGCTGTGTGTTTATGTGAGTGTGAGTGTGAGTGTGTGTGTGTGTGTGTGAGTGTGTGTATGAATGTCTATGTACCGGAGACACATTTAGTATACAGTATACTGCATCCACTCCGCCTCTAACACTCCCTCAGCGCTGTCTGTATCTATCTCTGTCTGTAGGGAATGGCAAGACAAATTGCATTCAAACTTGGTATATATATATATATATATATATATATATATATATATATATATATATATATATATATATATATATATATATATATATATATATAAAAGACGAAAGTTAAGGTACTTGTTGTTTCCATTTTCCCGTGTGATTTTATCAAGATATATATATACATATATATATATGCTGATAACCACAAGAAAGAAGAAAACACGAAGTTCTAAGCGCTGTGTAATTCACATCTTCAGGGTGAGTACAGTGATTTACTTGCATATATATATATATATATATATATATAATTTTTTTTTTCAGCATAGAAACTCCTGCAGCTGTTTTATTTAAGGGTCAAAAGGTTAAGTTAAGTAAAGTTAGGTTAGGTTAAGTTAATTTTTTTTAATGTGATTAATTCAGTTGTTTTTTCAAGTATAATTGGGAATGAATCTAATTGGCTTTACGTCCCAATTACAGTCATTTAGTTCCCTCTTTATGTATGTATTTCATCTGCTTTCTTTGTACCTTTTCATTCTTTCGTTTTAGTGATGTCTTGCTTGTTAAGAGAGAGAGAGAGAGAGAGAGAGATATAATTAAAGATTTACACAATAACATAACCACCTGAATGTTACTTAAAACAAATATATAAATAAACAAAGTCAATAACCAAGAGGAGAATTAATACCATCGAGGCTCAAGGAAATAATCAGTAGCTGGCAACTGTTTGTTTACATGAGTCAGCTGTTAACAGAGGATCGAGTTACCATGAACGAAGGACGATGGTCAATTTGTTTATTGCCTCTGACCTTCTGGGAGAGAGAGAGAGAACACGGAGACAAACAGACATGCACAAATATGTAAACACACACACATATGCGGACAAAAACACATTCTTTGCATACATACAGACACACATACACAAATACGTACAGCCAGACAGACACCACTGATCTAGACACCTGACCTTTTGACCTAGAAAGCAGCAAATCAGGTCACGGAGTTGTCATGGTAACGACATACACCAAGTCTGACTACCCTATCTCCTTCCATTCTCAAGGTAAGTGGTTGACATACATCAGTCAGTCAGTCAGTCAGTCAGTGAGGGATGTCAGGCTGAGGGTTGGCGACCACAGCCCTCCTACCCTACTCATTAATCTATAAGAGTAATGCATAAACAATAACAATAACCTACCCAATTAGTTGACCTCACAACCGTAAAGTCTAATTAAAGGTCAACCATAATGCCCACTCAAAGGTCATTCAATAAGGTCACTAATAGAACTGGAGGCCGTGTAGATTAAAAAAAACTTGAATGAACTTAACTAATATTAAAGTTTACGGGAGAAAGATATCATAATTTGACGCTGTTGTTGGACAAAAGTTTAATTATTAGATTTTTTAGGGGAGGGAGTCAAATGAGTTTAAATATTGACAGAGTTTATAGGGGAATTGAGTGTGTGTGTGTGTGTGTGTGTGTGTGTGTGTGTGTGTGTGTGTGTGTGGATAAGACATTCTACTGTTCTCCTCTGTCTGTCTGTCTGTCTATGCTCTCTCTGTCTGTCTATCCTGTGTTTGTTTGTCTGTCTATCTATATCTGTTTAGCTATGTGTTTCAGTCTCTGTCTTTATCTCTGTCTCCCCACACCTCCACACTCTCTCTGTCTATCTCTGTCTCACACACACCTCTACACCTCTCTCTGTCTATCTCTGCCTCCACACACACCTCTACACCTCTCCCTCTGTCTGTCTCTGTCCTCACACACACTCTACACCTCTCTCTGTCCATCTGTCTCCCACACACTTTCTTTACCTGTTACCCGTCACTCATTTCCGTGTTTGTCCGTGTGTCTGTCTCTTACAAGCTCTGGCACACTTGTGTGTCCCCCAAGGGTTCTGAGTTCAAGGGTTCACAGGTTCCAGGGGTTCAGGGGTTCAGGGTTCAGAAGTTCACTCAGGGAGCCCTCTTTGGTGGCAATCCCCCAACACAAGCAAAACTCTTTAAAAAACACATAGCTACGACACACAGATGGATTCTCAAAGGTTTCTACGATAATTTTTACGAATATCTAACTGACTCACTTTAGCTAAGCCACACAGATGGATTCTCAAAGGTTCCAACGTTAATTTTTTTCCCAGTAATGAAGAGGTAAAATTAACTTTATCGTAACTAGAGGCGTTCTGTAACCCACAATTACTGAGAAAAATATGGGTTCCCGTCTTAATGGGTTCCAATCGGGTTCCAATCGGGTTCCAATCCTAATCATTCCCAACAT